TGTGGGATCCGAACCCTTGGGCGGGAGCGCCGCCGCGCTTCCCAAGTGGCGCACTATCCACTGCGCCACCGGGCCGGCCCTTACCGGTCATCTTTAAAAAAAAAAATTAGATGCAAAGTATATAACTTCTCAAGACAGCACACTGACTTTGAAGTTGAAATGCTGATGTATTAAAAAATAAAAACTTTTTTTACTTCATAGGCTATACCTGACAAATAAATACATACATAGGTTGAGTATCCCTTATCTGAACTGCCTGGGACCAGAAGTGTTCAGATTTTGGATTTCGTGATATTTGCATATACATAATGAGAAATGTTGGGAATGGGACCCAAATCTAAACACAAAATTCATTTATGTTTCATATACTTCTTATATAAATGGATTGAAGGTAATTTTATATTGTATTTTTAATAATTTTGTGGATGAGGAAATCTGGGCATTCTCAGAAAAGACATATATCACAGCTGAAGGAGCTGGGTTTTTTTTCCCTTGGGGACGCTGAATGAACTGTGTCGTGCACCTGCATTTTGACTGTGACCTGTCACATGAGGTCGTGTAGGAAATTTTCCATTTGTGGTGTCATGTCAGTGCTGAAAAAGTTTTGGATTTTTGAGCATTTTGGATTTCAGATTTTCGGATAAGGAATGCTCAGCCTATATAAGGTTATTAAATACAGTCATGTGCTACATAATATTTCAGCCGATGACAGGCCACATAAACGATGGTAGTCCCATAAGATTATAATACCTTGTTTTTACTGTATCTTTTCTATGTTTAGATATGCTTAGATACAAAAATACTTATCATTGGGCTGCAATTGCCTAAAGTATTCAGTACAGTAACATGCCACAAACGTTTGTGGCCTAGGAGCCACAGGCTACACCACACAGCATAGGTATATAGCAGGCTATCCCATCTAGTTTTGTATAAGTGCACTCAATGATGTTCGCACAATGGCAAAATGGCCTAATGACACTTTTCTCAGAACATACTCCCTTTGTTAGGCAACGCATGACTGTACATGCATAAAGACACTTGGGTGTGATG